AAGGAAGGAAGGAAGGAAGGAAGAAGGAACAATGATAAGCTATAATAATCTTATAGCTTTTTTGTAATATAACTTTATGAAGAAATGAAAACAAATGAATATAAATGAGTAACCAAATAAACTTTTCTTGAAGTCATCATATTTCGAGGAAGCAAATACGTTTTTAAACGTAGAAAACTTGGAGTGACCGTTCTAAAGATTCTAACATTAAATCTAATCCTTCTTCATATTTATTATTACAGTGATCCTTTTATTTCAGTCTTGATTGCGATGTCCTGAGCTGATATGAAGACTCGTTATCATAATCATTCAATACGTGGTTACTACTAAGTAAAGGTCCTTGGACTGGAACAAATATCTCACAACAAAATGAAAATTATCACAGACAAATAAATATATAAAACTGTGCCAAAAAAGTGCTGGATCTATTTGCGTTCTCTGTTATTGCAAGCTATGAAAAAACCGCTTTGGTCGCACAAGTCTTGTCTGTTTTTAATAACACGTCATGTCATCGAATATTCTTTTTTTACATGTTATTAAATTTTAACTTATTTTTAATTTCGATTATCTCCAGGCGAAATGAAATAGAAAGAAAAAGCCTTTGTCGACAAAAACCCCGTTGAGTCATGCTGAGAATAGAGTAGTTTTCTCATGACTGTGAAAAAGCTGATGGTTTCTAGAAATTTAATCACCTGTTTTTTCTCGCGCAATGTGATTGGTCTGTCAGTGCTGTGACAATGGCGTGACCGTGTCCACGCCGTGTTTATGCCGTGTTCCGGGTATTGGATAGAAAGTAAATTATCGAGCAATGTGATTGGCCTGGCGTATCCCTTGTCGTGTAACGACCGTATTTGTGCCAAGATCTTTTCACAGTCATACAAAAACTGCTCTAAGAATCGACTCGCGGCACGATTCAGACATACGTTTAAAAATTTAGTCTTTTAAGTGTATATCAAGGAAAACAATTTTTTTTCCAAAATTACTTATATGTGAACAGTGTAGTAGTATGGTTGCAGTATTTTTGTATATGATATTTTCTTTTAGGAATATAAACATTTGAAATATCAATATGCAAATGAGATTGTTTAAATTCAAGACTAATCTATTGTACAAAAATGCTGTTGTGGAAAGTACTGCTGTTTTTTCATTTTTAAATCATCCTTATAACTGAAATATATGGCTTTGTACACTTTT